TGCTACTTCTTTCCTGCAGCTCCCCTGCTACCAGCCCCCAAACCCCTCCCCTCTTGAGGTGTGAATGTGCCATTTGGGGTCTCACTTCAAAGAGTCTTGGTGGAGGAATCATAAATACAAGCCCCCAACCAGGGGTGCTTCAGGGAAAGAGAGGATTTGGAGGTGGACACATCCCAGACTTGCTTCAAGAGACCAAGCCAAGGAGATCTGGCTCCCAGCTCCTTAAACAGCTCCTACCTTTGTGCCTCTGAGCCCTCCCTCCCTTCTTTCCTTCTCTCCCCAAATCACATCAGACTTTGTTCCCCAAACCAACCTTCCAGCCTCTAGGCCTTCTCCTCTACCCCCACCCTCAAGGCAGAAGCCCTGGCTTCCAGCCTCACCTGTTCCCATCCACAAGACCCCCACTCCCTTCCCAGAGAAGCCAGTCCTGACATCCAGGCTTCTGTCCGTCCCTCATGTACCACCCATCAGAGATATTCCCCCAGTATGGGAGCTCCTATGCTCTGCGACCACCACCCCCTCCTGGAGCTGCTTATCCCCAGAGTCAGGCACCCCAATATGAAGCCTTCAGATACTCAGGTGAGAAATTGGGAGAGGACGGTGGCAAAGTGGTGGGGGAAGGAAAAATTGGGTCATGGTAAAGCCATAAATGAAAGGGAGCCAGAAATGCTGGTTGGGATTGTGGGCTCAAAAACATCTTCATTTAACCATTAGGCTCCATGGTGGCTTGCTGCAGAGCCAGGCACCATTATTCAGCCTATTTACTTCACAGGGTTGTTGTGTGAAAGGGATAGAAGAAAAAGCATCTGTCTTCCTGGGAGTGGCTCTTAAGGCGGATACGGTGTGACTCTGACAGACATTTATGGAAGCAGAAGGGAATTAAGCGTCTCTGAAGTAGATTCAGAGAAGCTTAAGAAGCAGAAACCTGACATGGAGAAACTTTCTTCTTATATAAAAAATAAATTGAAATAAGGAATGTTTGGGGGGCTCTTTGAGAGAGATGGTGATGGCCAGGATGATTAAGCTAAGAGGGTTAGCAAGCTGATTCCAGGATGCAAATATATTTGAGTAGAATACTGGAATCCAAAAACGTTTATGTTGTAAAGCTGCCAAGAGTCGTTAGATATGAGATGAGTGGCAAATAAATTTCAAAAATAAATAAAGCCAATCCAGAATGGGTGAGCCAGAACCAGATAATGGGGATTAGGAAGTTAGGCCATTATATCTGTGGGAAAAGTGGGACTTACATTAAAAGAAAAAGTAAGGGAAGTCCACTAGGTACCCAAGAGGATGAGAATGGTCGGATGAAAGGGAAGCAGCTTGTGATTTAGACAGGCCAGTGAGAGGTCAGGGCTGGGGAGATCAGAAAGGGAGCCGAGAGAGATGGAGAATTCCCATAAATTGTTGGCCCCTACCCACCCACCCCCATCAGCTGGATATTTAGCACCCAAGACCAACTGGTCAGGGAAGAGGTGGAAGGGGGGAGAAGAAAACGGGCGGAAACCAGCAGGAGAGTGACAAATTCCTTGATGATGCCCCTCAGTAATGCCTGCAACCCCCTCCTTCCCCTTAGTCCACATGGCTCAGCAGCCGATGCCCCTCAATTCTCTTAAACCTCCACTTAGTCTCTTTTCTCCTTTTGTCACCAGAGCTGGAAGCTGCTCCCAAATTGGAAGGTTTCTTCTCAGGTTTGGACCCCCCTGGGCGCCTCCTGCCCCCAACCCCTGGCCTCCCATATGGGTCATCTCAGACACTCCCAACAGGCCCCCCAACAACTGCACCGCTACCCCCTGGAGTACGGATGAGCCTGGAGAACAGCGAGCTCTGGAAACGGTTCAGTGGCATTGGCACCGAGATGATCATCACCAAAGCAGGCAGGTGAGATACTGGTCCATCGTCTTCCTTTCTCTCTCTCTTTCCTTCCACTGGCAGGGATCAGTCTTGGGCCATGTAAATCAGAGCTTCTTCTGTCCTAAAATTAAAACATCTCCCCAATATATTTGAAACCGTATAGAATAGAATAGAATAGAATAGAATAGAATAGAATAGAATAGAATAGAATAGAATAGAATAGAATAGAATAGAATAACAAGAGTTGGAAGAGACCTTGGAGGTTTTCTAGTCCAACCCCCTGCTTAGGCAGGAAACCCTATGACATTTCAGACAAATGGTTATCCAACATCTTCTTAAAAACTTCCAGTGTTGGAGCATTCACAACTTCTGGAGTTATCTTACCTTCCCCACTCTGAAGTAAGCCCTATGAAGTCCAGTGGGTCTTGCTTTTGTGCAAATGGATTATGACTGCAACCTAAGCCACCTTTAACATGCTAGCTTTGCACAATCCCTCCCCCCATTTCTCACTAGAGTTCGGCAGAGAGGAGACCCATCATGCAAAAAGAGTAGGACAATGGGGGGGCTTTGTTTATATAATTAACAAGTTTAGGGATCTGTCGCCATCACACACATTGATGAATGATAGTTTCAATAGTTTGCAAATGCAATTTGACAAATTCACCTAGGATAAGCAGTCTGAAGCTACTTGATCTGTTGCTGAACAGAGGGCTAGTCTTAAGAGGTTTGAATGGTCACTTCTAATTCTCCATTTTTAATGTTTTAAATGAAGCCTCCATGTTCAAAGACAGTATACCTGCAATTTGCTCATTTTGTAAGTTCTATTTAGGACACCGATAGACAATACTTTATTTGATTAGACTGTTAATTTAACCTAGGAAGGCTCTTAAGATCTTTCTCTCCCCCCGTTTATTTTTTCCTGAGTTACTGTAATAAAAGCAATGTTTTGAGAAACAGATGTTTCTGGTCCCTGAATTGAATACTGTGAAAATCCCCTTCTATCTTTAATTTTGAGTCTAAAAAATGTTTTCTAATCTTGAGTCTCTGGCTGTTAGACCATTTTAAGTCACTGTAACCTGGAATTAAATAGAAACTTCCTCACAGTGAGGACAATTAACCAGTGGAACAGCTTGCCTTCAGAAGTTGCAGGGGCTTCATCACTGAGGGGTTTTAAGAAGACTGGACAGCCACTTATCTGAAATGGTATAGAGCAGGGGTGTCAAACTTGATTTCATTGGGGGCTGCATTATGGGGGGCCCTGTCTCCCTGAGGTGTTTGACCTCGAGGAGAGGCAGGGGGGGGGCATGGCCAGGGTGAGCACGGTCTGCAGTGAAAACAGGCTCTCAAGCTCCCTTTCTGGCTGCGATGGTTTCCTGCAACCCCTCTGCCAGTGAAAACGGAGCCCTCCTGATCTCCATTTTTGTTGGCAGAGGGACCGCAGACCGGTCCTTTGCTGTTTCTAGAGCAGCAGCACAGTGCAAAGTACCCCATGGGCCAGATCCGCCCCTGGGCCTTGAGTTTGACACACCTGGTATAGGGTCTCCTGCTTGAGCAGGAGGTTGTACTATATGGCCTCCAAGGTTCCTTCCAGCTCTATTCTGATTGATTGATCAGAGATGAACTGATCTGGAGACAAACAACATAAGGCATTTATAGTAATAGTATGAAACCTATGTAAATAGGTGAAGTGAGAAAAGAACTAGAAAGCCCACATCCCAGGAAAACTGGAAACAGTAGTTACTGCTCTAGGAATTGAGTGAGAGAGTTTTGTATGTTTTCAGCTTTCCAAGAAATAATCAAAAGCCATTTCCTCTGCTTAACATTCTTCCACTACTTGGAAGCTTGGGATGGTGGTGGTAAAAATATAATTGCTATATATGTATACTTTAAAAAAAACCAGATATATGTTAAAATAATTAATATGAAAGGTGTTTATTGAAATGAAATAACTAACACCATCAACATTAAATGGAGTCTGCTCAAATGCTGAAATATACCATGCAAATGAGATGAAGACAGTGGAAGAGAGAAGAGACAAGAGGAGGAAGAGAGGGGTTGGGAGAGAGGGCAGAAGGGGAGAAGAAGAGGAGAGAAAGAAAGAATGGAAAGAGGCGAGAGGAGAAAGAGAGAGGAAGGAAAAGTAGAGAAGAGAAGGATGAAAGAGAGAAGAAAGGAGGTAAGGAGGAGGAGAGAGGGAGAACAGGCAAGAAAGCAATGGGTAGGGTATAAATATGGTGCATGGAGAGCAGAATAGCAAATTATAGTCCTTGTGGGTTGATGGTAAGACAAATTGACATAAGATTGAATGGTTCCACCACAAAACCGCGGTAAACTAAAGCGCGCTCGACGAAAGCGCGTACCTGACGTCATCACAGCG